AGCCGTTCTTGAGAAGAGGGTACTGAAATGCTGATTCTCATTCCTACCACTTCACACTTGGCTTTGAAGCTGATGATGAACCCGACAGAACCATATCAACTGCAAAAAGCAGATATGAGATTCTGAGGCCACCAAAGTGGAAGCTTTCTGCCACTTTTCGCTCCATGAAATTCTATCCATGAAAATGACAAATGGATGATAATTACAAAGGGCAGGCGTATTGAAGTCCAACACCCACCAGAAACAAGTTCAACTTATTGGCAGCAATGCGGGTGAATTGTTTATATAATGATTGTACAAGGACGAAAGGCTTATGGCAAGAGCTGCAAAAGACTCATAGTCATTGCAATAGATTTAAAGTCTATGTGAAAATAATTGCGGGCTCTTCCGTATCTGTCTTCAGTAAACACTTTCTGGTGCCAATTGCTACTCTCATATTGTGCAGAATGCAACATTAGGTTCATTTTGTAAATTATGCTTATTACGAGTGTCAGAAAGGTAGATAAATTAGGAAATCAGGGTATGCCCATTGCCTAACAACTTGTCAATCACAAGCTGGCCGGTGAGAATGTAATTTCCCTGTAGGACTTCACACTTAGATCCCCCCTTGCTCATTACGTCTGGACTCCAAACAACAGCATGGTAATGGCAAAAAATAGCTTGAGGTTTCATAAAAGAAATTCACTAACCAATGAATGATGTTATCCTATGTACAACCATCTTTTATATACTGTCTACGGGCTGCACCAAGGCTCAGTATAATAATGATTATTTTGAACTGTGAAAGATGCAAAACAGCTCTAGCAGAGTCCAAGAATAAGAATGGAGTTGAAAATTCGTGTAAATTCCCCCTATTTAAACAGACTAAAATTTTAACATCTGGGAAGCCTTACAGAAATGCATGTAGATAATAAATCTGAAGTTCAAGGCTTTGAAGTAATTCAAATAAATATCTGATATCATTGGAGTCACTCACTCACACACACAAATGCATGCAGGCTTGCAGTACACACCTAGCGGCCAACAAACAGAAACCCAAGACCTGCATGAAGAGTATTAGCATGAGAGTGAAAAGGCAGTTCTTCCTGTGCACACAGTGTTCTCTGACTCATCTCTGTTCAACAATAACAGTATACCAACGCCAGCAACCAGACAGGAAAGGATCAGTATCCCTCACTCCAGTGGGAGTGATGTGGGAGGGATACTGTATTTACCTCTACATGTATCATCTCAGCACATGTGTGTCAAAACATGTGTTTCTTTTGTGCAATTTGAATTATATGCTGGAAAAAACTCTCTGCTTTGAAGCTCTGGGACAGAATCCCTTTGCTCTTGCACCTGCCCCCTTCTTCCTCTCTCCTGCTGGACCAGACCTCCCCTGCTACAAGCCTTTGTCTGTTTCTGATCTCCTCCTGCTCTTGAAAAACAATTGTTCCACACACAAGGATCAGAAACATGCATTCATACCTATAGTCCAAAGTAGGTCATTTGTCACAGCCAAAATGACTCATAGGAGTCTTTTTATGAAGCTGTCAGGGCTGTGGTTGAGGTTATGTGTTGTGTTGGTTGACTGAAATTACAAGGTTAAAGTTATGCAAAGATTTACTGTGATCGGATTACTAAAACAGTGTCACTGCGTATCATGAGCTAAAGCCAATCAGGCATGAAAACTACATAACAGTGTATTTTTGGAGGCAGCAAAATAAGGCTGCCACTTCTGACTTATGATAAGGTAAATGTTTTACAAGGTTTTTAGCCACACCTTTTAAATGGGCCCTGCACTGCCATGTGAGGCATTTAAAAAATAAAATTAAAGTGTAGGATTGGGAGTCCCTTTCCCTGCTTTCGTACCCACATTATAGCATGCTATGTGGACAAACACAATATATGTTAAAAAAAACAAAACTGTTTCATGTATTTCGTGTATAGTTCTTATTTCTTATTCTTATTTCTGGTTTTTAGGGTTGAACTTTAATTCTTATTTTCATTTTTATTGGGAGTGGCCTTGGAAGTTATCAGTTTGTCAGCTGTCATGCTACAACTTTGTCTGCATCGTAATCATAATTTAATCTTTATCTTTAATGATACTCATGCTACTTCTGTTTTTCAATTCAACTGTACACTTTATACTGTATGGCACACTCTACCCTACAGTTTTAATCTGCCTTAAAAACTGAAGTAACCAAGTGAAAACCACTGAACGAGAATATGGCACTGTTACTGAATTCCTGCAAGGCTAAGATATGATCCATGATCCATCCATCCATGATCCATCCATCCAGTAGACACTGGTCAAACCATATGCTGCATATGAAAGGTGGACTTCCATGGCGTCACCATTGTGTAGGTATTTTGACTGACAAGTTAACAAGATAGAATACAATAAATGTCACCTTATAATGAGCATAAATTACAAAATAAGCATTACGTTCCATTTCATACAACATGATAATGTTGTATGTAATAATAATTGAAATCACTGAGGAAGGAATGTTTACTGAGATTAAGAGCAGAGGAGTCCACAACTGTTTACCCAAGAGGAGTTGCCCTCTGCTGGCCATTTGAAAGAATACAGGTTTAAGGTACTTCTTCACTTGTTTCACTTTTCAGACCTATATGCTACTTACACTGAAACAATCCTTGACCTTAGTAAACAATTTCCTGGTGAGTTTGTGGTCTCAGTCACTAGTTTAGTCTTACTTAATACAACTTATTGTCCATGTTCATTTTGCAAATGATGGTCTACATTAAATCTTTATTTTTCACAAAGGACAATAAAGTGAGGTATGCATAGTTGCTACCATATGTGCATGCTGTGTTCCTTGATTTCTCCTTCACATCTAGAGCCAAAAACTACTTCACAACATGAATTCAGTAATGGAGCCTACATCTATTTTATACAGAGTCTATCATTTCAAAGCTGTGCTAACATAGAGAGTGAGAGCTAGAATGGCCAAATTGCAATTACCATTTAATCAAACTTGCATGTCTTTGGACTGTGGGAGGAAACCAGCCAAGCACGTAGGTGACCAGGAGGATCTCCAACTCCTGGGCAAAATATTTACCTCTTGAAGGGTAACTCAAACAATACCCTTAAAGACGTAATTGTTATATGACTGACTGGCTAATCTGTTTTAGTTACGGTGTATCAGCTAAACACAGAGTTCAGTTGTGACTAAATGTAAGAAACGTTTTCTACATATAAACTGGCCGACCAAACAGCTGGGTAAAATTTTCTCCCTAATTAACTTTCTGTTTTGCTTTGGTGTTTCCCGTGATATTTGTTAAAAGTGTGAACCAACCTGACATGTCTTTGGAGCTGAAGTCATGCACTCTGCGTGCCCATCCATTCATCCAAGCACCCTTCTCTAATATAAAAGTCACGCTACCTTCTGCTTTGGCACTGAATATAGACACAGTTGTTTTCAGCTGTCTGAACGAATGACTAATGCCACTGCCTTTTTTTTTCTTTCTCAAGAGGCCAGTCTTAAACAGACATTAATTCATTGCAGCAGACACAAAGATTGCCCAATACCCAATGTTTCCCTATATATGATATCATAAAGTGCACGACCCTGCAACTCAGAAAAAAACATCCAGTTTCTTTTCCAAGCAGCAGGTTGACTGATTTATTACTTTCCAAAGTAAAACAAATCATTCCACATCCATCTATTTTATGTTTTGGTCTAGAAAACATAACTGTAACTGTAAACGTACTGCTATGATCTGCTCTCTGCTGTTTACATTTGATGTGAGCGAACAGTCCCGTAAGAGATCCACACAGCCTGAGGAGACATCACCCGATACCTTCCCACACCAGTGTCTCATCAGCTCCCAGATGTTCACTGAACTGTATTGATTAAGCAACATATAAGTGGTGTTTCCCCACCTCTCACCCACACAGACACGTACATACCCAGTTCATTTCAAGATTTTTCCTGTTTTCTTGATAGTGATACACTCAAAAGGCCTCAAGGCTTTCCAAAAACATTTTCTCTTACTGTATTTGTGACTGCTGCACATTATGATCTAACCTCATCATTCCCCACCCAGAATTAACCGGCACTCAAACAAAAAAAACTTTAATCCAGCTGTTCCTCTAAGCAGCCTTTAACACAGTCTGTTGTAGAAAACCGATTTTGGGATTAAATAAAAAATATGATCGAGTGGTTGCAATTTTCTGTGGTTCTACACGTGAATTATAACGTTTTGTTAATTAAATAATACATTTTAGGCAGAGCATATTTCTTTCTATTTATAAATATGCGTACTGCAATGCGGCATTCACACAACTGGAAATACCCTGTGTGGTTTAAATGCTGGAGCTGCCTGGAGAGAATGAAGCAAATATAATGACGCTTAGGCAGGATTTACGTGGATGCATTTCAGGCTTCAACACTCTCAATTCGTATTCACTTTGAATGGGGTCATCTGAACTCACCTGCTGCTGAACTGATCTGGGGATCTGTTGTTTGCTTGAGCTGCTTGCATAGACAGTGAAAAAACATGACCATAGCTACCTGGTTGGAAAAAATTAGGCCACTGCAGAAGAGCCTGAAACTTGCATTCTTCCTGAAATCCACAGGGCAATAGCTATGGTTGCAAAAAAAAGGGTCTTCTTTCCTTACCTCTGTAAACACTTTGCTGTTAAGTTTATATCTTGGTCACTTATTTTCAATCATATTGAATAAAAAAAAATCTGTCCTTTCAAAAAGGAGGATTATCAATGGTATATTACACTTGCTCATTGGCTAATGACTTGTCAGTAACAAGTCATTAGCCAATGAGCCTTGCCATGATTTGATATTCTTACTATGACAATTGTACCAGCAAAGGAATGTGTGACTGCTAGCTCACTTGCTAGCAGTAAATAAATTAGAATATGAGCAGCTTTCTGCTCTATGTCTCTGTGATCTTTTTTGATATACTACTGAAATGCACAATACAAAACTGTAATATCTGTCTACACAGAAATGAAAATGTACTGACTTTGATTTAAATAGATGAGTTTATTTAGGGGTATACCACACAGTAAATATTTTTCACTGAAATTTAAATGCATCACCTTTATGACTAAGTGTAAAACTGCTGCAATAATATGTGATTTCTTGGTGTTCTCCAAAGGGAAGACATTTCCCGGATGACTCTGTAGCACTCCTCATGACTTCATGCTTTAGTAAAATTGGATTTTCAGCCCCTCGTGTTGAGAGCAACGCCCTTTGTTCTTTTGTTGCCACCACCAGGTGATAACCACCTGTGCTGTCCAGTCCATTGATGTTATGAGGTTAAATTTTACTGCACCAGCAGCAGCTCACTGCCCACTGTGTAACACAGTGATGAGAAGCAACGGGATTAAATGGCTACAACACATGAATATAAACAGTGATGAACATTCAACCAAACAGTGTTTCCCTGCAGCCCCCTAAAAACAACTTTGACTTTGAACTGAAACTAATAACAAAAAGGCTTTCTACAAAAAACCTCGGCTTCAAGAAAGAATAACTGGACTTCTTTGGAAAAATGTCATTTTTGTATGTGCCTGTTAGAACGTTTCTGTCCCGACTGGCACAATGTGGCAGAACAATTTTCTAAAGTCAAAAATGACATACTTAAATATTATTTTTTCTATAGATACATTACACACAACTTTAATTATAAAACAGAACAAAAAGCATCATGCATGTTGCTAGTGCTTTCTTCCATTTGCACACACTGATTTAATCAAGAGCTCCAAATATGAGCTGAAGATTTTGAGTCATTGCGATGACCTTTAACCAAACTGGTGAAAACGAGCATCAATTCTACTCGATGTCAAGACAAAACCACAACATGACTCACTACTGAATGCAGACAGATACACAACACCAAACACTCAGTGATTAATAGCATAATCAAAAACAGATCCCATAGAGCACATATCATGTATGTTTTCAAAGGAGTCTAATGCATTGTAGTCAGCTCTGCTTTGTATACTGATCTACCATCAAAGTAGATAAACTTTGTCTTTGCCAATTCTCTACCATCTGCACCCTGAGTAAACATGCTTATTTGGACCATGGCCTACAGTGTTAAACAGAAAATTAAGGGCAAACAGCTCCTTCATTAACTCTTTTCTCTCTAGATGCCTGTAGGAGCTGTTGTAAATTGTTGTGTTTATGGGGGAAAAAATTATAATACATGAAGTTCAACTCAGTGTGCTGATAAGTAGTGTGGACGCCTCCTCGTAATCCCTGTTACACTGGGTAAAGATGTCCTCTAGGAAGTCTCTGTCACAGTTTGGAAAGCTCTTGATGAGCTTCATCAGGGCCTGGTCATACTCAGCCCGTGGGTCTGGAAAACACACAGGAAAGAATACACATAAAGTTTAATTTGTTGTTCTCTTGAGACCCCTGTGGAAAGAGGGCTCCTTGATTGTCCTGAAATATACTTTCTTTCCTTCTCATGTATAGCTGGAGGCCTTATCATACCATGTTTTCATATTTTCTTTTTCAGCTATCACGATCTGTTTTGCAGAACATTTGTATACATGATTGGTTACCAAACGCTCTAGAGCCAATCCCCAAAATGTTGATTTTCTTAGATATTTTGTTAATAATATAGTCAAACAAAGGAAAGGGGGATTCCAATGTTTACAGTCATTTCTTTCAGGCAGCATAGAGACTCTCCTGTCTGATCACTTTAGCAACTATTCCTCTCGAGTCCCCCATCGTTCATTATGATGCTGCTGGGGTATGATGACGCCGATTATCACAGTAATAATAGGGCATTATCATTGTTAAACATAGCAGATTCATGACTAAAAAATTTATATAATGATCTTCTCTTTAATAAATCTCATTGATGGTGACATTGTAAGAGCTTACACGAGGCTGGTTTCCATTCCCATCTGTAGCAATGAATGGTTGCAGACATTCCCTAAATTAATCATTTGCATGTAAAAACACAGTCTGCACCACAAATTATTGGACTGGGCAATAAAAACAAGAGCGAAGAAGAAGCACACTTTCGCCAAACCATTCATCGGCGAAGTCGAGAAAAAGGCGGTGGGGTTTTTTTTAGTTGATGGTCTTTGATGAGTGGGGCTGGCAAATAGTGAGGGACAGACAGGAGAGGCCTTCACCCAAACAGGTTCCGGCAGAGTGGAAAGACATGATCATCGGGCTAGCTGGCAGATAGGGCTGGTGGCTAGTGTTCAGACAGCAATTAGCGAAGAATGAAAAGCAACTGAGTGGTAGGACAAGACACTGTTTACTACCAATACCAGATTCCAATACATCCTTAGCCCTTCCTTTGTCAAGAGCAATTACACCAAATACAGATCTTAGCTTATTTGTCCTTTGTTCAAGTTTTGTCATCTGTGCACTGTGGTCTAACTCAAAAAAGAATATGAGGTCAACAGGGCATGCATTAGGTCAATCTGAGAGTTTCAGGAGTGCCCTCCAGTGGACCGTTAGGCAAACTACTTTCAACGGGGTGAAAAGTGGCACAGAAGGTTTGAATAAAGATGACACTATTGAAATGGGCGTGTGCTCAGCGTTGTCCATAGACTGTGTGTAAAACATGGACATAGCCTCCTGATCTGAAACCCTACGAAGTCCGATTGTAATATGAGAAAAACTGCTGTGTTGCCTGAGTTATGTCAACAAACATTTTCTTGATGTCTTTATGGTTTCAAAGCTCCACGTCTCAATTAATTATTTCATTTATTTACAGCATTATGGGTTTTTTTTTTTGTAAATTATGATCCCACATAGTTACTCTGTATGGGATAACATTCTCTAACAAATAATAAAGAAAGTTAGGGTGTGACCATCTGATGAGATTTTCTGCGTTCATAACTCCACTGGCTGAAAAGCCGTCCCAAACAACGACAGAGCCTCGACCGTGTTTCACAGTGGGCTGCAGACACCCACTGTTGTAACTCACTTTTTAAATGATTATATGTACACTTTCTATTTGCAGAGAGTATTATTTATTAATAAATACGTTAAAAATATTATACATTTCTCTCTATATACCATAGTTAAAAATATTAGGAATATAACAATATAAATGTTTTTAACCACAATAATTTGAAAAAGAACGCAAATTTGGTGAACATGTTCAAATGCAATAGGTAGTCTGTTTTCTTTTGTTTGCTGTGAACACAAGTTATTCATATCTGCATCTGTATCCAGTCAGGTGTCAATCCAGAACAATTGTATAAGGGCGGCATTGCCCCTTGGCACATCTGTCTGGCTCCAGGCCAAGAGTCTGTCAGTCTTGTGAGTGAGTCTTCAGCGCAAGTAGAGAATTTACCTCGAAGACTGCCAGAATCGTAATAACAAACAGTAGAAGTCTGCGTGCGTCAAGCTTTGATCCTCTCAGTGCCCTGTCTGCTAAGTCACACATTTAAATGTGTTTGATATTTGGCATCATCCGTGCTAACTGCCAGGCAGAAGTGGAAAATACTTTGTTACTCACACTTACAGTATAGAGACACACACACATTTACGGCTCCCCCTTACTAAAAGCACAAGTTTCAGCAGGTTTTGAATGCCCTGTATCACAACGTACCACACATAGTTTCCTACCTACATTTTTGAAGCATGTAAAGCACCTACACCTAACATAGACTAAACAGGCAGTCAGAGTCCACTGAAAAAGGATGAGGTGGGCAAGTCTTCTCAAATGTCCGATTTAGGTTTGGTTAACCAGTGCTGAGCCAGACTTTTAAAAAAAAGGCATGAGAAACAGAACAATGAGCGTTATTTACAGGTCCAGTCTAAGCTCACCAGCTTCTTCTGTCCAGCCGGAGCAGCTCTGTTCTGGATCTGGTTTCAGGTGTGACAACGGGGCTTGACTTTCTGCCTCCTGAGTACTTTCGAATTTTGGCTCTCTCTCGCTCCCTCTGGCTTGACCTTCAAGCTTGTCCAAAAAGACCGCGTTCACCCTGTCAAAGCATAGTGAACTTAACAAAATGCTTCACATAAAACTTGCAAATGTTCTATTTTACAACTCCACATGCCTGCAGGCTCCAAATGTCAGTGAGCGGGAAGTGTTTGACAGCTTTTAAACTTCTGTACCCACTAATATATAGTGGAAGTTGCAGCCACTTAACATCCATCAACCCAGCCAGTCTACACTGGTTTTGTTCCAAAAGGAATGAACAAAAACACACTATTAATCTTACTGGGATCATTCTTGCATGGGTAGTTTGTATTTAGTTTCAACATTTTTTAAATATTGAGTGAGTCTTTCATCAAGTGGCTCAGCACCGTTTCTTCCAAATTGTGTGCTTTTATGTTAACTTTACATAAGATATAAGATATAAAGGGTCTTCATACCTCTTGTGTTCCAGCTGCACTTCTCTCAGATTTTTTGATTCCTTTGTCTGTTTACCCTCCACATCTGTGCTCTGACAAAAAAAAGGGAAAAAAAGAAAATGTCAAATTTCCGCCCGCTAAGACTGAAGAATTTGTATTATTGTAAAGGTCATAGGTCTGACAGTTGGAAAAAAAACAACATTCCTCTCTCCCACTGACAACACCTCCTGCTGTCCTCATGGTGCCTCTTTGAGGTGAGGATAATTTCTCAACTCCCACTATGTTGTTCTGCTGTAATAAATCATTTTAAATGGATCTGTGCGGTTGGAATACATACAAAATGTGGTTTATTGTTATCTTGCTGAAATAAGCAAGACCTTCTCTACACTGTAAAAAAAATTGTAATATAAAAGTAGTTTACTGCGTATTTTACAGTTTTGTACTGTTCTTCTAGAATATCATTAAATTTACATAAATAGACTGTGATTTTACATTTCAAATGTAAATTAACGTAAAATCACTGTAAATGTAATAAAACATAATTTTCTTGTTTTTTAAATGTATTTGTCTTTACATGTGCATATTTAGATTGTTAAAAACATTCACAAATGCATCATAATTTCACAAATATTTGTCTGTTATTTGAAAGATTTAACTGTTAAATTCAAATGTAAAGCTATGGAAAAATATATAAAATGATTCGTATAAACTTTTTTTTTCATCAAATAATAATAATAATTATTGTTATTTAGGGCGATTGTGGCTCAAGAGTTGGCAGTTCGCCTTGTAATCGGAAGGTTGCCGGTTCGAGCCCCGGCTCAGACACGCTCGGTCGTTGTGTCCTTGGGCAAGACGCTTCACCTACCACCTACTGGTGATGGGCAGAGGGGAATTATGAAGTGGAATTGTAAAGCGCTTTGAGGGTCTCATGAAGCGCTATATGAATGCAATCCATTATTATTTAAACCAACTGTTAACTGTATATTTCTGTACATTTAAGTATTATTTTTCATATTGCCACATTCATTGACCTTGTTTAGAGGTAATTTCATTGTTCAATCACATTAAATCGTTCATAATTTAATGTTTAAAAGTACTTGAAAAAGACTGTATTGTCATTACTGAAATAACCATATTTTCATTGGAAAGTTCTTTGCTGTTATTTTATGGTATTATTTTGGTGCCCCAGCTGCCAGAATATTACTGTTTTTTAGGACTTTTTTTTTTACGGTGTAGAAATTTAAACTCTGTTTAAATCCTAATGGTTAATGTATCAGATTATCATAAAGCTAGTATGGCCATTGGCAGATTTTAAGATTAGGTAAATACAACCTTAGAACTAAGCCAAAATGCAGAAGCATTGTGTGAGAAAGTCCACACTTACTGCTACCGTAGGCATTAGGAGGGTAAGTCGCAGCTAGGTGCATTTGATCATAGTTAGCCGAAGTAAATAACTGGCTCTTATATGAGACATGCTGTTTATACAACATATCTCATTCACCTATTCTCATACACACTTTTTTTCTACATCTAAGTGCTTTCTATTTAATAATCACACTCAAGCAACTGTTTGTTAACACAATGCCAATTAGGAAAAATGTCAGTGACAATTCTACAACAATTCCTTCTTTAAAAAGGAATTGCTACTGCCTACACTTTGGTTCGCAATGCTGCTTTTGAAAAAAAAAAAAGCCCCACAAGATTTGCAGAACAATGTGTTTCAGACAGACAAAACAAAAGTGGAGAGTTTGTCCACAATGCACAGCACGATGTTGTGAGAAAACTAAACATAGCATATCAGCACACACACCTGATAAAAACTGTCCAGCACAGTGGTGGAGGGTGATGATTTGAGCATTATTCATTTTGTAGCTGCGTGACCTGGGCAGCAGGTCAACCATGAACTCCTCTGAATACCCAAGTATTTTAGAGTCAAATGTGAGAATAATTTAAATTGGGTTATGCAACAGGACAATGACCCCAAAGCACAGCAGCACATCTACAAAAGAATGGCTAAAAAGGAGTCAAGGTGTTGTAAGTTTGATTTAGATTGAGTTTTACACTGGATGCCCTTCCTAAAAGAAGGCTAGAATCAAAGCAGCACCCTTTTCTTGCCAAGCAAATACATCAGCCACTATACCACTGGAGGAGTTTACACTGGAGTTTGCTTAATTACTGACAAGAAATGAATTCAACACATTCATCTCACTCGTTTTTACTCTGTTTTTCTTCCCAGGAGAGTTAATGGGTCAGTGAGGGGAAGACGGAGCACAGCCCACCTGTGTCAGCCCTCTGCTGCATCAAAGCTTAGTATCAAATCTCCCACTCAAACACACAAGCACCCGCCTACAAATAGAGGATATGAAGGGGAGAGCAATGTGACTTATGGAGCCAATGCTGAAAGAACAACAGTTCCCAGGGTCTTGGTCAGAACCACATGAAGAAGTTTGCCTTTTGCTGCTCTGTGGCCGCAAGCTTTCATCTCTTAATCTGTGACGTCGATCTGAAAGAGCTGAAGCCTGGGAGTATCAGCAGAAAGAGAGGAGAGGAAAGGCAGGGAAAAGAAAAGAATAGAAAAGAGAGGGGGGGGGGAAGCATAGCAAGAGCACAGGAGCAGAGAAGATGGGAAAGGATGTGGAATGAGACATGAGACAGGGAAAGGAAAGAAACTAGTGGTAAAAACAGACAACTAAAGAAGAGAAATGTAGGAGACACAATGAAAAAATTGGAGAAAGCAGGAAAGACAAGAGGTGATGACATGATATGATGGGAGAAGGTTGTGTGAGATGAGAAAGTAGAACACCAGGATGAGGTGATGCTTTGGTACTGTCTGTGACCCTACTGTCACAGACAGTACCAAATCATCTATTTATCATCTATGTATCCTGTCTGTTTGTTTCTGTGTGTATCCCACCCTAAAATAGAGACTCCTTTGTCACTAGAACTGCTTTCTGTGTCTTTCTGCACCAAGGTCTGACCTACAGTCTCCTTTTCCCAATCTCTCTCACCACTAATTTTCCTGGTGAAAGATTTGCATCAGCTCTACAAGATTCAAAAAGAGGCAGAGAGAAAGTAAAACAGTGAGAGAAGCCCACAAAGAAAACATTTCCAAAGTTATTCCTCACGAAAGAACTGCTGCTATTTTAGGAGGAAATGAGGGTCTCTTTCTTATTTGCCAAATGATTTGTCCCAACTGTTGAGGGGGGGTGGTTGCGATTAAGATGTTCTCAGTTAAATAGGAGGTAAGCGTAAAGGACAACAATTCACTCTTGGAGTTTATCTTTTTCTCTTTCTAAATCTGTGGGTAATTGAGCGAAAAT